GAAGAAGATCGAGCACATCCAGGTCGTTGTATCTGCACCGAGCACCGTTGCTCACTGGGTGGAGCGCAGTCCGCTGGAGGAGGTCCAGCTTGGGGACGGCAAGCAGAGGGAGAAGAATCAGCTGGATCTTCTCAAGCGCAAGGTGGCCGCTGGCGAAGTGAGTACGATCGATAACCACACGAGGCTCATCGACCTTGCCAAGGACACGTGGACCACCCACTTGGTCAAGACAGACAGGGAGCGCAGGCTCACGATCGCGAAGGAGATCCTCAAAGCTGGGTATACGCTCACGCCTGCCTGCCAGCTGAACTTCTTGCACGCGGAGCTGAGCGCGTTCTGGCCTGAGCTGGTCGACTCCGTTGGGGCGGGCACGAAGCGGTGCGTCGACAAGGTCGTTGCCGCTTGTCGGTTGTGGCGTGGGGCAAAAGAGCAGTTCCAATATGACAAGCCTATCTTGGGGGCCGTTGCGATGTGCGATTCGCAACGCAACGAATATTTCCTGAATCATGTGATGGACAAGTTCATTGGCCTTTTCAATGCGGACCAGACGAAAGCGCCCGTCGTGATCGAGCTTTGCAGGGCAGTCATCACCGACTGGGAGCTTCCCGAGAGGATGCGGTCATCGGAAAGAGCGTGTTCTACCGCTGCTGGCGGAAAACCGGGGGGGGTCACTACCGGTTCGAACCCCTCCCCCCCCCCCCCCCCCCTCCGGAAAACCGGGGGGGGTCACTACCGGTTCGAACCCCTCCCCCCCCCCCCCAGCTCATCATGAAAAGGGGGGGGGGGTCACTACCGGTTCGAACCCCCCCCCCCCTCGAAAACCGAGTGGGGGTGCGGACAGTGGTGGGGACGGTGTTGGTGGGGACAGTGGTGAGGGGACAGCGGGACAGTGGTGGGGACAGTGGGGGGACAGTGGGACAGTGGTGGGGACGGTAGTGGTGGGGACAGTGGTGAGGGGATAGCGGGACAGTGGTGGGGACAGTGGGACAGTGGGACAGCGGTGGGGACGGTAGTGGTGGGGACAGTGGTGGGGACAATGGTGGGAACAGGGGGGGACAGTGGACAGTGGTGGTGACGGTGGTGGTGGGGACAGTGGTGTGGGGACAATGGGAACGAGGTGGAAACAGTGGGACAGTGGAGGGTACAATGGTGGTGGGGACAGTGGTGAAAGCGGTGGCGAGGACGGCGGTGGGACAATGGGACAGAGGTACAGTGGGGACAGTGGTGGGGACAGTGGGGACAGTGGTGGGAACAGTGGGACAGCTCAGTGGGACAGCGGAGGAGTCAGTGGGACAGTGGGGACAGTGGGGATAGTCGGGCAGTGGTTGGGGCCGTGGAGACAGTGGGGAGAGTGGAACCGTGGTGGGAACAGTTCTGGGGACAGCGGGGACAGTGCGACAGTGGTGGGGCCACTGGTGGGGACAGTAGGGGCGGTGGTGGAACCAGTGGGGACAGCGGTGGTGAGGACAGTGGTGCTGGGAACACCAGTGGGGGATGTGATGCGGACGGTGGTGGGGACCGGGAGTCGTTTGCTGGCGGTGAGTAGGGGGGGGGGGGGGGGGGGGGGGGGGGGGGGGGGGGGTTTCGAACCGGTAGTGACCCCCCCGGTTTTCGGATCCGGAGGGGGGGGGGGGGGAGGGGTTCGAACCGGTAGTGACCCCCCCGGTTTTCGAGCGGGAAGGGGGGGGGGGGGGGGGTTAGGGGAGGGGGGGGGGGGTTTGCCGGGGGAGAGAGGGGGGGGGGGGGGGGGGGGGGGGGGTTCCGGCAGGGGGGGGGGGATTTTCGAAGGGGGGGGGGGGGGGACCCCCGGGTTCCGGAGGAAAGCGTTGGCAATTTTCCACAGTAAAGCGGCGGTGGATCACGCTCTCTCGGTCATCGAGAAGCACTGTTGCGACACGCTCGTCGCCATCAAGAAGGTCGCGGGGGTCGTCCTGTACCTTGATGACGTGGGCGCTGCCTCTGCTGACTGCGACCTGGACGTCTACGACGACATCATCGAGATGGACTCCCAGAAGGCCGTGACCAAGAACCCCGCTCTGTTCACGAACGCGGCGGGTGCGTTGGCAAAGTCCTTGTACTGGGGCGGGAAGTTCGAGATCGGCACGAAGAGCGCGCAGACGCTGAAGAAGCACGTCCCGCAGATGATGGACCGCATCAAAGAGCTGAACCCCACGTGCCGTTCCGAGATCACCGAGCCCGGCCTTGCGAAGCTGTTCAAGTTCGTCGAGGTGGTCCCTCAGATCGAAGTGGATGTGGATGGCACTGGGGTTGCGAGGAAATACGAAGGTCACGTGGTCAGCAAGGTCACTGATGTTGCCAAGCGTCGCGTGTTCGGCGGCGTGCTGCCAATCTGAGTCGATCAGGATCATCGCCGCGGAGTTCACGAGCGCCCGCTCTTCTTTCACTGCTGGCGTGAAGTTCAATGCCCTCGAGAACGCCATGGATGCGTTCATTGGGGCTCCGTGCGAAGGCCGCGGAGTACAACTTGCTTCATGCGTTGAGGAGCTGCGAGGCAATCGGCTGTCAGAGCCGATCGCTTTCAAGCTGGGCACCTGCGCCCAGACGCTCATGGACTCGGGCTTGCTGCTGGACAAGGAGGTAATCTACGCCAAGTGGATGATCGTCCTGAAGGGCGTGGGCATGGTCAAGAAGACCTCGGCGTTAGCTGGCAAGTGGAGTCCGATCATCTCTTTGATTGGTTCTTGGAAGGCGGCTTCCGATTCGGTCAGGGCTCTGCTTTCCTTGGGCTCGGCGCCTGAGTTCCGCCAGCAGCGCCAGCTCTTCGAAGAGCAGCTGAAGAAAGTCCAGGCGGCCAACCACCACTTCGCGATGATGTGCAGGAAGGCGAGCGTGGTTGCCCTCATCAGCGAGGACGTCAAGCAGACGCTCAACGCGCACGGCGCGGACTTCCAGACCAACCTGGGTTTGCGCGCGGCGGTGCAGGTCGACAAGCTCGGCAAGCTGTCCTCGGAGTCGATTGCGACAGTGCAGAGGCTCGCGTGCGACAGCGACCTGCAGGCCATCGCGGCCGCGTGCGCCGACGCGCAGCAGGCCCAGGACGTGCTGAAGGCCCGCTCGGAGTACCTCAGCACCTTCGACCTGGGCTCGGTGGCGACCGCCATCCGTCGGATGGCTAAGGAGCGGAACCAGTAATGATGATGAGGAGGGTGATGACGAGGAGGAGGTATGGGGGTATGGGGGGAGAGGTGAGCGAGGAGGACAGGGGGGAGGGAGGGCAGGAGGTGGAACAGGAGGGGGCAGGAGGAAGGACAGGAGAGGAGGGGCAGACAGAAGGACAGGAGGAAGGGAGGACAGGGAGGACGGGGGGGGCACAGGAAAAACGTGTCCCATGACACCTCCCATCTCCTGGGGTTGTCCACGGGCCACCCCCGTGGACACCCCCAAGAGGGATGTCCACGCGAACTCAGGTGTGGAGCGGGGTGGGAGGTGGGAGCGAGCGATCTCAGGTGTTTTGTTTCTTGAGGGGGGTCGGTCCTCCTCGCTCGGTCGCCCCCCCCTGGCTCGCTCGCTGGCCCCCGCGGGCCGCCCCCCCCATCGCTGGGGCCCCCCTGGTGTCCCCCCAGGAGCACTCCACTTACGAGGGGGCGTCCGCTGCGGTGGGCAAAAAATTCGAGGCGTTGAAGGACGTCAATTTCCCTGAGGTCCTGTCGCGTTTTTTGGCACGTTTCGTGACTGCTGCGATTCTGCATGCAGTCTTGAATAACGTGGAGAAGTTTTTACGCCGTGAGGCGATGTTGAAAATACAGGGGGTCATCCGTGAGTTCCAAATGACCCCCAGCGTGTTGCCTCCATGTGTGCTCACGGCGTACAAAGCCGCCTTGAAGCTTTGATCTAGGTAGGGTTTCTCGCGGCGAGGGTGCCGCTACAATATCGTGCACCGCCGAGGTGGGCGTCGAACGGCGAGCACTCCCAGAGGACACGTCTACCAGGGTGAGGTAGACAACTGGCGGAAAACAGGGTCTCTTGGTTTCCACTGCCCTCCCCCTCCTCCCCATTCGTCCTCACTTCCCCTTCTCCTCCTCCACCTGCTGCTGCTCCACTTCCTCCTCCTCCTCCTCCTCCGTCCTCCTTCTCCTCCTCCCGTGCTTGACTCCCTGTCGACCTCGAGGGCCTTGTGATCGGGATGCTTCCTTTGAGTTCTCGTGCAGGCGCTAGTGTTGTGACAGTGCGCGCTTACAGTACATCAACATGCAAGGACATCCATGTAACATTTCACAGACATTTGAAACATATTTCAACACCTGCAGTTCGCGAGGGTTCAAAAACATCTTGCCCGCATTTTTCATCCTTCCCCTCCACCCTCAGAGGGAAGCGGGGTGTGAACACTACGGGTCTAGCGGCGCGCATCTTCGTTTCAAATATTTGCAGGAGTTTCGTGGACTTTCATGGCCAATGTGCCAAGCAATGGTGTTTTGGATGGGTTCGGGACAGTGAGGGTGCAACAGTTACGTTGGTTCACAGCGGTGAAGTTCCACGAACGGCGTTCTGGCACGATTCAGGGTCGTCAGTACACAACAATGAGGTTGATCCGTGTCGTTGGAGATCCGAGAATGGTGTTTTGGTGTGCTTCAGGGTAGTTTGTTATTTAAGCGGCTGTCTCCAAACGCGGCATTTCTTTCATTGGAAATGAACCCTTGTGGGGCCTATGAAGAGGGAACATGAAGGGGCAATTTATTCCAACGTCGTTGATGAATCTTGGGTTTGCATTGGTCCTCCCCCTCATCCGCCTGCTCCTCATTCGCCTCCTCCTCCTCCTTTTCCTCTTCCTCCTCCTCCCATTCCCCTACTTCTTCCTCTGCCTCGCTCCTCCTCCCTCCTCCTCCCTCCTCTTCCCTCCTCCCCCCTCCTCCTCCTTCTCCCCTCGTTCCTTCCTTCCCTCCTCCTCCCTCCTCCCCTCCTGGCTACGACGGCAGAGGTGGCGATGACGGCGGCCGCCCCGCGCGCAGTCGCGTCCTTCCCCTCGCCCCCGCCTGGCCCCGAGATAGCGGACGCCGGCGGCCACCTCGCCCCTTCGGGTCGGGGGCGGGCGGGCGGGGGAAATGCCGGAGGACGGCAACGCCGGTGCGCGGGGGACTCGGGCTCGTTTTCGTGCCTGGGCTCGTGCTCGAGCTCGGGCTCTGGCTTGGTCTTGGGATGCCCGCGCGAGAAGCTCTGGAAGGCCCACCTGGAGGCATGGGGGGGGGGCCTTTTGCTGAAATCCCCCCCCGCCTTTCGCCCGGCCGACGGCAACGCCTGTGCGCGTGGGGGTCCCCTGGCATCCTCGAGTCGTGGCAAACGACGCCGTGATGTTTTTTGGGCCATGTTCGGCCTCTGGAGGCCTATCCCGGGCCTTGGGGCCGTAACAAAAACGACTCGGGATCAGATTTTTGGGAAGCCACGTCGTCCAAGCGTTCGATGTCTGGGTCCTTGGTCCTGGGAAGCCCGTGTGAGAAACCGCAATGCTCCCCCCCTCCGTCCTCTCTCAGGCCGTCCCCCTCGCCCTTGCCCCCCTTGGGGCCGCCACCAGAGGGGAGTCATTGCGATCCAGATGTGCCCTGAGGGAAAGGGCGCCCCACATTTTTCACCGTTGTCGTCCTCTCCGGCACTCGGGTCCAGGGGCCGTCAGACAGCGACCCCGGAAGAGGAGCCAGTTCTGGGGAGCCTCGGGGCATCCATGTTTTGTTTCCTTCGGGACCTTGTGAACGCATGGCAGCGGGAAGGGCTCCTGTTCGCCAAGCTTCGAACCTGCTCAGGCGGGCGAGATTGGTGCGTGGCCGAGATCGATACATCGCGCCAGGAAGCGTCGGGATCCGCCGATGGACCCAACCGCGAAAGCGCAGGCATCGTTATCGGAGGCCTGAGGCGGAAACGCCCATGCCATCCACACTAATAATCCAGAGGCTTGGTCTTTCGAATTCCACTAGCTGGTCTCCTATCTCAGCTGGTAGACAGAGTTGGGGGCCGCGGTGCTCCATGTGCCTTCTGCGTGGATAGCATGCGTCTGGGCAATTTGAAAGGCACTTCGTTTTCAACCCAGCGTGAGCGAACAGAGCGGGCAATCAAAGAGGGGAACGGTCCCTCTCATCCTACAGGTCACGTCTCATCCGCAAGTCCTGTATTTTTCTGTGCCCCCCTTCTGTTGGGGCGACCCGTTCGTCGCCACGGCTGGAAACCGGACGGGCTCCAGGAGGGGCCCAGGGGTTGGAACGAGAAGCGATTCGACCAGGCGGGGCGCTCTTTTGTCTTAGTGCCGTGTACATGCAGGTCGTGCTTAGGTGGGGGGCCTTCTTGGTACAGACAAATGGTGGTCCTCCTGCCCCTTCTCCTCCACTTCTTCTTTTGGTTTTGGCTCCGTTTCGCGTTTTTGGTGTCGGTGCGATTTGACCCACAGTGCTTGCTGATGCGCGAGACCATGGTCTTGGCGTTGCGTTTCGTGGGGGTAGTACTGGGGGACAGGCTGGGAGCCTCCGGGCATTGATCCTGCTGCCCTAGCCTTTCTCGGGAAAGGACAATTGTGCAGGTCCACCGCGTTACCCCCCCGCTCTTTCTCAGGAAGGTGGAGGGGGGTGGAGCAGAAGGGGAGGCGCGCTGTTTAGACCATTCATCTTCTGTGCTTTCTATTTTAGCGATTCGGCCGAAGCCGAGGAGGGGGAGGGTAGGAGGAGTGTGGATCTGCGTAAGCGTTCGATTCTCAACTTCGGCGCCCACGCCCTCCGTGGCGCGCGCGCGCCCCCGCCCTCTTGGCTCGCGCGTCTGCCTCGGATGGCAGGCGTGGGCCTCATCTACCCGCCGCCGGATGTGCGGGGAGTGATCGACAAGACCGCGCAATTCGTCGCCAAGTGCGGGCCAGAGTTCGAGCAG